AACCAAAAGAACCTCGACAAGCTGAAGAAATCTAGTCGCTACAACAACCAGCAACCACAACAGCTCCTTTCAGAATAAAAGCTCCTCTGACCCAGGCTGGGTCTGAACAGACGCCAATAAAGAGTCGTGTGCCGGAGGTAACTCGAGACGGGTCTGGTCGGAACCGCAGCTGCTTCTACCAGCTCGGTTTCCAGAGAGGGTCCGCTGGGCCTCGACGTTCTGATCTCACCAGAGGACTTCCATAAGGCAAGTAGACCGGCTTGATGGTGTCTCATGCGGTTTTGAAACTAACCCAAGCTTATTCCAAAACAACACCTTCAGTTCCCATCAGAACTAATCGCTTCTTCAGATTTGCTGGTTCTGATTTACATGATACGTCATCCATTCACCGTCTCATCCATTTTTAGTCACACCATACACTTAGTTCTGAAATAAGCCTAGTTTAATAAAAATTCTTAACTTTTAAACTCGACTCTCTCTATTCTGTTGTCTCTGAGTGAATACATAACGGTTACATAATCTCTGCATTAAAAAGATCCGATCTTCTGGTTTGACTAACCCACCGAACCGTATGGTGGATTTCATACTTACTATGGAATCCCACGCCTTTCGGCTTCTTAAATAAAATGTAAGAACCTCAAGTTTCCCTTACATTTTTATCAAGCCTTTTTTTTCTATCGCACCTCACGTCTATCAATCGATATATATCACTATCGAATTATCGTCCAGCCCTAGTTGGAAGGATGCAGCTCAAATGTCCAAATACAGGTGAAACTCAAAAACTTAGACCTGAAGGTCATTCATGTCAGTAACTCAACTAAAAAGGTGAAACTATATGAGATAAACTTGTTACATGCAAACCAAGATGTTTCAGCCTTTATTTGTTATGATTGTGTTGATTATGTTTACAGCTTATAAAAACTCCACATTCAAAATATCAGACAATTAAAATATTATAAAGGTTCAATGTTCTAAACTCAAAGTGTCACACTCTAATCTAATCTCTAATCCTGAACACCTGCAAAGGGTTCCTAAGTCTACAGATCAGGGGTATTCAATTCCGGGCCTCAAGGTCCAGGATCCAGCATGTTTTAGTGGTTTCTCTGCTCCAACACACTTGATTCAGTGGCTGAATCACATGTGCAGCTGAGCATCAGGCTCTTCAGAAGCCTGTTAATCAGGTGTGTTGAAGCAGGATTAAAAACCAAAACTCGCTGGATACCAGCCCTTCAGAATTGAAAAGCCCTGCTTTAGATGGTCTCTCAGTCTAAATTGGATTACTGACATAAATGAACTTTTGCACTATAATCTAATTTTATTAGTTTGCCCTGTAGATCTGCCAAAAACAAATGTTGATGTAGATGGTTAGTATTTTTTTATCTCCACTGTCTTTAGGGACCATTTTTAAACAAAAGTAGACAACAGATGGATTACTGTTGACGCTGTGGTTTAAGCTTAACTGCCAGTAACAGTGGAGGTCTGGGAACGTTGCTGAAGGCCTCTTCGTTGTGACCTCCAAGGAATAGCTGCTGATGTTTAGAGACTTTCCATACCAGTGTACATGCTTTGATGCCCTACAAGTTAATGGTAACATCTTTATGTTTTTAGAGTAAACTTTTGATTTGTAATGCTAAAAGAAAGTTGTTGAAACTTTTTTCCATCCATTCCACAATCACATCAACACAAGTTGAGACACTGTTTCCAAGTGCATCTAGTGATGTTGTTTTAGGACAAAACAGCTGAAGATATCTAACTGAATTTGACTGGTGGCTGAAAAACAAAGTGTTGGATCTCAATGAGAATTATGGTCAAAGTTAAGCAGTCGAGAGGGGTAGCTGTTCTGGCCTGTGAGAGAACAGCGGTATAGGAGAAAAATAGAAGAAAAAACATTTGATGTGCAGTTTTCCCACAGGAGAGAAGAACCAACAAACACAACTTTTTGCATCAGCTGCTTGTTGTTGCACCCCTCCTGAACTACAACGATCTCTCGGACCTCAACAAGCACAAGAAAAAAAAGAAAACTTCTCAGTCTGAAGTGCAACAGCTTCACTGTATCAGATGGATTTAGAGTTCAGATGGATTAAGGAGTTACACAATATTCCAAAGCAGGCAGTAGTCCTGAAGTAAGGAGAGGAATGTGAGTGTAAATAAATCTCTGGAGAAGTAAAATGCTTTCATATTTTAAAGATTTATCAGAGTTTATAGTAGAGTCTGAAATCTGACCAACATAACAGCTTGATTTTCATCCCAAAGAGGTGCATCTCTGTACTTTATGTCTTGCATCTTACAGAAAAAATCTTTAATATTTCAAAGAGAGAACTCCATCAGTCACAAGACAGATTTAATGAAGCTTTAACAGTGAATAATCGGGCATATTGATGTTCAAAAGGCAGACCAGTTTTATGTTTGTTCATAAGGGCAGAGATAATGATTTAGAGGGTCAGTGGAAGGCTAATCTAGTCACAAGGTAAAAATCAAAGTTGCACCAAATATGGCATCTACTCTGGAGGTGTATAGCACTTGTTTCTCCTTCCATCAAGATTGCTGTCTATCCATTATCCAGACAGCTTCATCCTCAGTAGGGTTGCAGGGAGCTGTTGCCAGTCTCCAGTGGGGGACACCCTAGACAGGTCACGAGTTCATCACAGGTCCCATCAAGATTGTCATTGCTTTAATGGTCTTTGGCATATTTGTTTCACAGTTCTCAGTAAGGTTATTTTGGTGCCCGAAGCAGGAAAGTACAACTCAAACAAGTGCCAATAGCAATGTAGACTGGTTTGAACAAATACAGACAACCTAACTGACCATAGCCCAATATCGCCAGTGCTATAGAGCTAAATAAAACAGATTATGGATTGATTCTATGGTCATCTATCCATTATCTCTCCATCCATTCTCCTCCACTTATCCGGAGTCGGGTTGCAAGGGCAGTAGCCTAAGCAGAAAGGCCCAGACTTCCCTCTCCCCACCCACTTGGACCAGCTCCTGTGTTCCCTGGTCAGCCAAGAAACATAGTCCCTCCAGTGGGTCCTGGGTCTTCCGGTTGGTCATGCCCAGAAAACCTCAACTGGCTCCCCTTGATGTGGAGGAGCAGCGGACTCTCTGAGGATCTTAATGACGCTAGTTCAGCAATAAAATGAATATTGGTACATGTGGTTGCTTATTGCTTGAGAAATAGGCATGGGCATGTATTTGATTGCATAAATAAAGTAATGTTTGAGCAAGCACCAACAACATCCACAACACAGAGAACAAGTTGGTGTTACAACGGACAATAAAAGCAGGTTAATCACTCCATTTTTAGCAAAGCAAATGCAGTTTTAATACTGTGTGTGTTGTAAGAGCATTTAATTAGTACAGCGAATCCACCAATGCTTAGCTGTGAATGAATGTCAAGCCCTTATGTCACAGGACGGCCAGACTAATGTGTGTAGGTGATGGTGGTCACCGTAATAGCAGTGCAACAACAAAAAAGGACAAACTACTCTAGAGGCTTATAGAGAGATCCTCTTTGGTTTAAGCCTACCCTTTGTTAGAGATTGTTACATTGTTTAAAAAAACTGGTTGTTTGACATTATTGTGATAGATCTGGTCATTAAAATCTATTTAAGACTCTTGTTCCATTTCAATTGAAGGCCTGGTTGACCACAAAAACCATTAGGTTAGAGGGTCCAAGGTTTTTAGCAAAGGTTAACAAAAGATCATGGTTTGGCTTTAAGCCTTCTCCATAGAACCGGTGAGTTGAGTGTGTCCTGACACAAATCCTATATGTTGGTTTGGAGTAACTCCAAGTTTGGTCTAGACAGCCCAGAATTATCACTGTCTGCTCTGACACTCAGCATACACAGTTGAGTAACCAAACCATATTGTCTTTGGAGGTAATGCTGGAAATACTGTGTTGAAAATGTTGAATGAATTTAATTTAAGCCAATTTTAAAGAAACAATCGAAATCACCCAACTGAAATTTGTTCCAATGTTTGAATGCAAATGTTGGCTGGAAGTTAGCTAAACCCAAGTCACGGGTTAAGAGGGACCGACTGTTTTTCTGAGTTAATTTAACCCAAATATCTAGGTTATTTTCATCAACCCAAGTTTTGGATTGTTGTGTTTACAAGTGGATAGCCAATTATAAGGGTTAAAATTAACCAACCCTTGAGTAAGAGCCACATTTGTTAGCTAGCAAGTAAGCAACCCTCGTGTACTAACGGTGGACAAGTGACCGTCAGTAGTGGTTCGCTGGCAAACATTTAAGCTAGTGTTTAAGCTAGTGTTAGCCACCACACAGGGTGAAGACGAATGAAAGGAACGCCAATGTGAACAAAAGAGGCACAAAAAGTAAGACTAAAAGCACTCTGACGACTTTTTTTGCACAATGACTGTAAACAGTTTACTTTTGTTTCCTGCCTAAGCTTCCTCCTTTTCCAGATTTCTCATTGTTTGACCAGCAAATTTCAAAGAGCACTCCCGCCACCTACTGAAGTGGAGTGGGAACCTAACCCAATTATTGGGTTAATCTACTCACAGACAAACAATCCAGTCAAAAACCCCAGAGATTTGGGTTAACAATTACCCTATAACCCAATATATGGGTACAGCTCTGAATTTATAACCCAGTAATTGGGTTGAAGAAATAACCCAACTGTTTTTAGTGTGTAATTTAAGTTCAAAAGTTAGTTTTCAAATGTATATCTTCTGAGTATTCATTTAAATAAAATATCCCCAAAAACATTCCCAAATCTCAAACCCTAATCCTAAAATCCAACAAGAGGGGTTCATTCATAAATGAGGCTTAAAGCTTTATTAAAGTCCTGCTTATTCACTATGATCTATCTGTGTCATGTAAAAATGGAGACAATAACTAAAAACTTTGCAGATGTCCTTGTTGTGTTTAAATAAGGAATAAAGATGCCTAATAGCTAAATGAACACTTCTATGACCATGATTTTAGCTGAGTCACCAGTAAATATCCGTTCACAAACACCACTATGACCCGTCTCACCTGTGGGGATGCTTATCTTGAAGTCCAGATCCTTCTCCTCCAGGTGGTACAATGCGACTTCCTGTAACCTGGCTCGCTCCAGTTCTGATAGGCTCTGGATGGGAACCGGTTGTAGACGTACACTCTGCCCCAACATGGTCGCCCACGTGTGGTCCCCCTGCCAATAGGAGACAGCAAATTGAAGTACTGTTGACCAAAGAGGACACATCAAGGAGTAGTGAGAGTGATTAGCTAGGATTTTAAAAGCAGATGTCTGAGTCTCTGTATTGATTTAATCAGAAGATAAACTGAAATTCCCTGTGCAGTAAGCAAAGGACACTACAAATCAGTTCACTTCCTCAAGGAAATCCTTCATAGAAATGCACAAAGTTGTATTTACTTTTAAAATAAAAATAGCAGGATCACTAATTTTATTTTCAAGTCATTCACACGTTTATTTCCATCTTAGCCATCCATTGGAAATGCTGACCTTGGTACCATTGTATAACAGGTTTATTCAAGTTTCTACTTTCAGACGCAGTCAGGCTTCACCAGTTAAACACACAGACAGTTCCTGCCTTTACAACAAAGTTTGCTGTTGTTTGTGTGAAGTCTTCAATTCATCTGAAAGCTCTTTGTCCCTGAAAATCTCTTTTGTTGTGACCAAAGATTAGAAAACATAAAGGTTTTATATGGAGGCATGGAAAACCCTCAACAAGTTGTTCAAAATCTCATTATTTTTGATGTCAAGTCTGCAAGTGTTTATGCAATACACTATTATTCAGACATTTATCCAAGTTCTAAATGTTCCAGCCAAAAACATAAATGGTTGAGCTGATAATCACTTGATGCTGTCAGACATCGCTTTATAGAGATCTTAATGACATGCAGAGATATTTTACATTTTTAAAAACGAGTAGGTGGAAGCGATACAAAAAGGTCCCTGGACGCCTTTTAAAGCTGCAATAGCAAATCTACAGAACACAATGTTTGAACGCAAACATGGTCACGGAACTCTCACCCCTTTCTTTCCTGAGACGCTTCTGCCCAAACCAGAAACCCACATTACCAGAGAAAACGAGATGGTGCTAAACACCAGTCACCATTTTCTAGGTCCAAATGTCTTTTTCTGTCTGTGACTTCAGATGTTTTTTCTTTTTTGCGACTCTGGTAGTCTGTTCTAAAGTTGATGTGGTAGCAGCCGGCTGTTTCTTCTTCTGTGATGTTACTGAGCGGAGAACCTCTCACACCTGTGGTGTTCTGCTGCTAATTACAAGAGTGTGTAGTGGAAGATCCAAGTATAGAAGTGTAGTGGTTCAGTGAGACCAACAACTGGTGATATAGACATAAACATGTTATTTGTGGAGGTTTTTAGACAAGTACAAGAGAACCACTTTATGAATTTTTTCGTTCTTTTGTTTATTCTATTTTGGCAGGACGACTGTTACTGTTGTTGGGTCAAATGCACTCAGTTCAATGCCGCACTCAGTTCATCCAGTTAAAATCCTTTACCTCAGAACCCTCCCCAGTCAAGTCAGGTGTGCCCCAGGGCTCTGTCCTGGGGCCCCTCCTCTTCATAGTATACCTCCTCCCTATCGGCAAAATCTTCCGCAAATTCAATATCCAGTTTCACTGCTTTGCGGATGACACCTAGCTCTACATTTCCAGTAAGCCCAACTCAACTCTCCCACCATCCTCCCTTACACTCTGCCTCTCTGAAATCAAATCATGGTTCACCTCTAATTTCCTCAAACTCAACGGCAATAAAACTGAACTTCTTCTAGTTGGCACTAACTCCACCCTCTCAACATCTGACAGCTTTTCTTTAACAATTGACAGCGCCATAGTCTCCCCCTCCCCTCACGTCAAGAGTCTGGGTGTCATTCTTGACAGCTCACTTTCTTTTCAAGCTCACATTAATATCATAATTCGGTCAGCATACTTCCATCTACGTTCCATAAACCGTCTCCGTCCCTCACTGACCCCTCACACTGCCGCCATTCTCGTCCACAGCCTCGTCACCTCCCGTATCGACTATTGCAATTCACTTCTTTATGGTCTCCCCAACAAACTCCTTCATAAACTGCAAATGGTCCAGAATTCAGCAGCCCGTATTATCACCAGAACCCCTTCCTTTCACCACATCACCCCGGTTCTCCAGCATCTTCACTGGCTCCCAGTTAAATTCAGGTCCATCTTCAAAATTCTCCTCCATACCTTCAAAGCAATCCACAACCTCTCTCCTCCATATATCTCAGACCTTATAAGTATTCACACCCCGTCCCGTTCACTCAGATCTTCTTCTTCCATCCATCTTGCGGTTCCTTCTGCCCGTCTCGCTACCATGGGGAGCAGAGCTTTCAGCCGCTCTGCTCCTCGACTCTGGAACTCACTTCCCCCAGACATCAGGAACATCGACAGTTTTACCCTTTTCAAATCAAAACTCAAAACACATATGTTTAAATCTGCCTACAACCTCTGATTTTATTGAACTGTTTCTCTCTTTGATTTTTCTTGTTTGGGTTTTATTATTGTTTTATTGTATTTTATTACGTGTTTTCTGTCAAGTGACCTTGGGTGTCCTGAAAGGCGCTTTTAAATAAAATGTATTATTATTATTATTATTAAATGATGAACCATCATTGGGAAGGTTTTGGATGTGACACATTTTTTTCTTCCTGTTATTTATTGTGCTTGTAACTGACTATATAAATTTATGCACCAAAACTAGTTTCTAAAAATGGGTTGGTAAACTATAAATATAGGAATAGTTTTAAATTTCACCACTTTCTCATAATTACTTGAGATTTTTTTTCGGTGCTGAAATAGCTCTCTAGTTTATAATCATTGTTTATGAAAACAGTTGTTGTGAATGTTGTTTATTGATTGTGAATGGGGGTACATATTTACCATATGACCATGATTTATAAACACCAGCTGGACATTGCCAGAGGATCAACAATGTTGAATGGCTTTTAAAATAGCAGCAGTCTAAGTCACCAGGCGTGAGGTGATAGAGTCCCCGGACATGTCACCAGTCCATCACAGAGACACACAAACAATCATTCACCAACAAACATTCCTACAGACAATGTCAAGTTTTCAATTAACCTGACATGTCTGATTTTGGTCTGTGGGTGGAAACCAGAAAACCTGAAGAAAACCCACGCATGTATGGGACGAATGTGCTAACTCAATGCAGAAAAGCAGTGCTACCATTTGGGCCGCCATGCAGCCCCAGATATGGACATGCCAACTAATTTCTTTAGTCAGATTTATGCTATGTCATAAAATTGCACCAACCAAATTGGTATCATAACATTCTCAGAAACAGGGGTTTGTTGTTTGAAGGGATGAACATGAAAAGACTGTTTTTCCTTGAGATCTACTATCCTGTTACAAGAATCCTTATTGGGTTTTATTAATACAAACTTACATTTATGAATAAAGGTTGATTATTGAGCCTACACGTGTAATTTGGTAAAATGGTAAATAGCCTGTATTTGTATAGTGCCTTAGGGTTCTACAACCCCCCAGGGTGCTTCACACCACAGTCATTCATCCATTCACACACACACCAGTGATGATGAGCTACGATGTAGCCACAACTGTCCAGAAGCAAGCAAGCCACTGACAGAAGCAAGGCTGCCGAACACTGGCATCACCAGTCCCTCTGACCAGCACCTGCACGCAAAGCGGGTTAAGTGTTTTGCCTTAAGACACAACAGCAGCATTCTCTCTCGGAAGCTGGGATCCATCCTGCAACCTTCCGATTGCTGGACAACCCACTCTACCACCCGAGCTACTGCTGCCCCATTTGTCATATTTGCTTGTGATCACCACATGAATCCCAATGGTCATGAACCATCATAGTCCCATAGATTTAGTGTATATATTGTGAAACCACTAAATATTTGCTGTATGGCATTTACCTTTGCAGAACCCTTTGTGACATTGATGGATCAGTCTCCAGTCTCCCCTCGTCTTGTGAAGTAAACACATGGAATCTCTAAAAGGCAGTTAACCAGGCTCTAACTGTAAACTGTTGAACACAGAGTCATAAAGCACTTTGTACAAAACACAGTATCATCAGACGTGTTCTGTATAATCGTGTACTACCATGTTTACTTTAAAACTCCAAGGAGCCTCTGTGTTACAGAATTCCATTCTCACCAGTTTAAATGCTCCCATTCAACTCAGTGAAAAACACCATTTCGGTCATTAACACAAATATTACCAGTGAAATTCAAAGGTGTGTGGGTGGATGGATATGCGCAGTAGCAAAGCTTAGATACAGGTTCTTGGTTGCACACCAAGGAGTGAAGCTTGAGAAAGAATGCAAATGTGTCATTCCTGTTTTTTTTCTTCTCATGTTCACAAGGGACAACATTATTCTCTGACATCATACGGTTTTTCTCCAAACTGCAGGGAAACGAGAAAATAAGCACTGAGTCAAAAGCAAAAGAGCCCCCATCTCACAGCTGGCCAATGGCCCTGAAACTATATGGAGAAGTCAGACTTTGTAGGGTCTGAGTAAAGATTTTACTTTGACTTATGACTTATGGCATAGAGTGTGAGGAAATAACGATATTTCCACAAAATCCAGTCCTCTCGGACCACTTTTTGATAACCTTTGAGTTTTTTATAACTGAGTTCTCGAGACATGAAAGTAAATTTCACTATAGTCGGTCTCTATCTGTCAATGCTATTGCATCGTTCAAATTAACTGTTCCATCTTTACTATCTTTAGCATCTCAGAGGAATGTAGCAGAGGGCAATATTTTCATTTGTAGCCCTTCACAAATTGATGATCTGGTTCATAATGTTACTTCTTCTTTACATGTGGCATTAGATGATGTTGCCCCTTTAAAAAAGAAGGTAATTAAGCACAGGAAGTTGGCTCCCTGGTGTAATGCTCATTTACAAACTTTAAAACAAAACTCTAAAAAATTGGAGAGAACATGGCGCTCTACACACCAGGAGGAGTCTTACTTATCCTGGAAAAATAGTCTTGTGCTTTATAAAAATAAGCTTCGACAAGCTAGAACTGCTTATTTTTCATCGCTAATTGAGGAGAATTAGAATAATCCTAAATTTATTTTCAGTACAGTTACCAAACATACAGAATCATAGCTCTGAACCATCTATTCCCGTAGCCCTCAGCAGCAATGACTTTAT